CTGCCGAAGGAGATACAGAACCGGAAACAGATGCAACGTTACCCCTGAAGCCAAAAAAACCATCTAAAAAAGATGAAGAGGAAGAACCTGAAGAAAGTGACGGTGGTTCTCCAAAATCACCGGTTGTGCCTGAGGATAGTGAAGAGGTGAGAGAAACAGGCAAGGTTTGCAACAGTTTTGCCTCTAATTCCGTTACATTTGCCTCATTCACCTGCTAATTTTCTTCTTTTAGCCATCGAAACCCGCGAAGAAGCCGATAAAAAAAAAAAAGGTGAGTATCTTATATATCTTGAAGGTAAACCTCTTTTTCAGTTTTACCAGACAACTAATCCTTTACCGCCTAAAGTTTTTGGAGTGTGCTGGTTAGAAAAGTCGCTCCAAAAGTAGCAAGAATGATGATTTAATTTTTGAAAGGCTCCGTTTGTTTGCTTGTTTTGAATAGGGAGTGACTTTGCGGATGAGGTAGGAACCCATTTATTATGAAACCGACGTTTCGTCGTATGCGGTTCGCCGCCGTAAAAGACGTTATGTAATAAACATTTTAGCCCACTCCAGTGAAAAAGAAACCTGTATGGGAACCACCACCACCAGTCCCTCAGGAGCCGTACGAGTTTCCACCTGAAGAAAAGAAGTTGTGTGACATTTTGAAGGAGGAAAAAATTCCTCCAACACAAAGATACGCTAAAAAACCAAGGAAAATGTAAGTTGGATAAACTTTGTTTGTTTATGCGAAAGTTTAAATGCTTTTAAGAAAAGAAAAGTTCTTGAACGATATGCTCTCAAATGACTCGAGAGTCTCCGGAAAAATCCTGCTATCAATAAATGCAGTAATTGTTCTAATAACTAAAAAGAAATCCGAAAGAATTTGCATTAGAGATTCAGCGGCTGTCTTGAACAATAAGGAGGTGTCGTATTAAAGTTACAGGAGGGCCAATCAAGCAAACTGAGTTATTCTTGGAAAAAGCAGTGCTTAAAATTAAGCATCCTTTTAATTGCTGCTCCAAAAACTGCCTTTGGCACAATTGTTTTGAATAGCTGAACACTTGTCCTGACGAGCAGGACCTGCGAACTCCAATCATGCTCCTTCAAGTTCCTTTTATGGTCCCCTTATGAGAAAATAAGTGTCGCATGATTCAGTAGGAAGCATTTTCAAGAAACATTTAAATCGAGGAGTTAATCTTCTTTGAACAATTTGCTGAAAAAACTATTTCAAAAAGAAAAAAAAAACATGTGAACACCTTTCTACAGCTGGTATGAATGAGTAAATCATTGAGTACATCTTTAAAAAGTGAACACTACGCCGAAGTTTAGAGTTTATTACTAAAGACCAATAATAGTTGGTGCTTGCAAAAATTACAGGAGCTCACCCAATCGATTAAAATTACGCTCCTGAATTTGAATTCATCTGCAAATTAACTATTAAAAGAAGATCTGGGCATACGTGTTCCCGTTCCTCCATATTTTGAAAAACATTTATGGCTTTTATGAATTAGATATTAATCATTCAACCTTCTACCACAACTGAAAAGAAAAAGTGAAAAAGCAGCTTTCATGCTTTAAAATATCGACTGCTCTCTTGTCCGGCCCAGTGAACATCAGAAGCTACCTGAACATTAGTTTCTACTGGACCTCCTCCTTGGCTCCCGATACTTTTTAGCATGTTCCTTTAAAAAAAGCAAAAGCTGCAGTAACACTTTTAACCAATTTAAACGCCAAGGAGTTCTTTCAAAAAAATCGTGTTTGAAATCAACCGAATCGAGCAATTCTATTTGTTCATTTAGGGATGTTCTTATACCCTGCAAAATCCCTTGGGAGTTTTGGCCATGTATTCAAACGCAAGAAGGTATGGGAGCTTTCGGCCACCAAAGGAATCCTTATACAAAAGTAGACCAAGGTTCTAAAACGTTAGTGCAGGTACAGATTTGCGGGGATAAAACAAGTCTCACCACTTTTTTGTTACTCCTGATCTTTTTACTTTAATTTTTAGTTCCAGTAGTGTTTAAGAGGTTTATCGAGAGTATAGCTGTTAAATCGAATAATAAAGAAATGATATTTTAAGGGTGAAGTACATTCTGAAACTGTGATCCCTTTGATTTCCCAAGCCCACGGAGCCTCCAAAGCAGGAATGCTACCATTTGGAGCCTACAGAAGAAATGTTTCGAGTATCATCGACAGTCATGAATTCGACACATCAAAAGCAAGTTCAACTATATCAAGCATCATAAATGGCTCGTTTCATGTCAAATTATACGTTTCTTAACTTGCTTCAAAATACCGTTCCCTCCTCTTTCTCTCATCCCCCCTCGCATTCCTGGGAGATAAAAGAATTTGGTTCTGGATATGCAAAACCGAAACGGTTAACAATCTAGTTTCTAAGTTTCTGACTGGCACCCCACAAAGTACTGTAATTTGTAATTTTTCATTACACACAAAGTAATCTTTGAAAAGCTGGAAAGAGACTGAGCAGGCAAAGTAGTTTTCCATATTTTCCAAAAGGTTCCTATCGTCTGGCTCTTAATAAAAAAAAAATAAGGAGGTCTTAACTTTTTGTGTTAAACGGAAAAGAAAATTCATAGCTCAATAACGTTTTCGAAAAATCCTACGTTATAACAGACCTTATCAACTAAAAAGTATAAAAGAATACGCTTGGTGGTGTAAAGTGTATTTCTACACAACATCGTTGGAGCTGCCCGATTAAAGAGCGACCAGTTCTCCAACCCGTACTTTCACTACATTATGAAAAAGTACACTTCAAAGTCAGCTGAGCTGAGAACATTTATGCATAAAGTGCTATCTTTGACAGTGCATGACCTGATATGGGACATTTCGTCTTGAACCACGCTATGCTCGAAGCAGCTTTCCTTAGAAGCCCCATAAATATAAGGAAGTGTAAGGAAAATATATGAAACAAAATATTTTACCTCTTTTTACAAATTTAGTTTTAAAAGTGTGCTCAGCTGAACTTTTGGGTACGAAACTAATAGTTGGGTGCCGCGTAGTTTTATTCATTATTTGACCTCCTATAAGTTACAGGTTAAACTTTGCGAACAGTATATCCCCTTAATGAACAAAGGATCACGCAACTGGATCGAAAATGATACTGGTATTGGCAACATCCGAAACCAGGTTTGTGAATCCAGCAATTTATGATGCCTTGAGCAGTGATGGTCTAATTGTCTGCTTTGATTTCCACGACAAGCAAAAAAAAAAAAAAAAAACAGAAGCTATTTTAGACAATGAATATAAAATATTCCAAAAAGCTGACCAGTTCTGTCCAACCTCAGTCTCATACATTCATCAGTCGTCAGTTTGCTCCAACATCCGAAGTTGCTGGAAGCAATATCATTGGAAAACCACGCGGTATTATTCTCAAGGTCAGTATTGAAATTTGCTTTTCCAAATATTACTTCACTTAATTTTAGTTTTAGCTGAAAAATTTGTCCAAATAAATTTGCTTAACCTAAGCGTGTACTACCTTTTTGGTACAAATCTTGATGTTTGCAGTTATCATACCTTATTAATAACGGCAGTTCAATCGCACAATCATTCCGTAATTATAGTAACGGAAACGGAGATCCAATCACAACTAAGAATAAGTGCTGCCCACCGAATGATATTTGCATACATTAAGCGGCCGCTTTTCAGGATGACCGAGGCGAAGTTCTCGCCAAATGTGATCGCGAATCTGAAACGATTGTACCTCGACTGTTCAACACAGAAAGCACTTACTTAAAAAGCGGGGCAGACTTCGGTTCATTCAGGCCTCTTATATGCGAATCCCAAGGTGGATTCACCATGACATACGACGAGGAAGTTCTTTGCAAATTGGTTTTACCGTACCAGGTTAGTACTTCTTAATCAAAAAAATCAGCTCAATGTCATTGCCATTTACGCTGACTGCAAACAATTTGCTAATCACATCGTTCCTCACACTAATTGGGCATCAAATTTGCCTGCCAAAAAGCTCTGGGGCATCTAGAATGCGTCACAGACAAATCATTTATTTTTGCTCAAGCCGACTTTCAAAGCTTTATTTGATGGCTTTTCGGCTACTCAGGAATACCTTTGATAACAAAAGTTTTCAATAAGCGGACGATTACAGATTTAAAACTCAAGATATGGATTTCATAAAAGAAGCAAGTTTCCAACCCATATCTTTAATTCCTGCCTCCTTTACTGCTTGTAACAAAAGTACTCATCGACTAAAGGTTCTTCTCTAGATTAATAACAAAATGCTGGTGCTAAAAGTTTTGAGGACCAGGACAAAGACAGCGGAAGTTGCTGCTCCGCAACTACGACAATAAAAGTAATGACTGTACAAACCACTTTACGGAAACCAGCTTCAGTTTTATTAGAGAAAATTTTCAAAGTGTAAAACCCATCTCAACAAACTGGGTAAACTGAACAATTACAACTGAGTAAGGTTTATACAGTCAACAGTCCAAATATGTATTAGTTGGCAGAAGGACATAAGTTTAGGTGTGAGAAACCTTAAAATCTCTTATACCCCCTAAAAACGCTTTCCCTTTCTGACATAAAAACTCCTCTTGTTTGTCGCGAGTTTTTAAAAAAAAAAACATAATAAACGCCTGAAATCACTCCAAAAGTCTTTAAGTTGCACAGAATTAGTGTAGAAATGGACAAACGGTCGCGACATGTTTATCCTTCAAACTCCTAATAAACAATTTGCTCCATTGGCGAATCTGCAGTAAACCTGGCAAAGCTTGCCTCGTTCGTGACCTTTTTTTGCAAAGAAGTACCGCCTGAACCAAAAACTGGACCGATTTTTTGGAATTGATGAACTCCAACCAACTCATTTTCCGCGTCCCGACCACCAGTGCGCCGCGCATCTTGCAGGAATGTTTGCTCCCCAGCACACCTCAACAGTCCAACACTATCTCCTTACTTACCATTTCACAACTATAGACCAGCCTAAAGCTAGTGTGACGCCTAAAAATTAAACTGCAAACTAATAAAAGCTAATAACCACAATTATTCAGACAGCACCGTCCCTGACAGCATGAACCTGACGCAAAAGCTGCAGCTCAAAACCCAGACGAAACAACAGACAAGGAGCGCCCAAGAAAACTGTTTTACATAAAATTGATGGAGATGGAAACAACAGAAAAACCGCCGTACAATTAAGCAAATGCTACCCTTTTTCTCCACAGCAAATGAACAAACGTGTATGTTGAAAAACAAATAAAATGTCACCCAATGATGAATCGGACACGTTTATATGAATATGAGAATCATTACGAAACACGAGGAGCTTCGGAATAAGAAACATAACAAGTTCGAACATAAGTAAACTAAATAGTAAAGAAAAATAAACGGAATCCATGTACAACGCGATACCGAATACGCCAAAAAACACTGTCGATTTCCACAGAAACGAGAGAATTAATTTGGCACGGCCACACAGCAAAATGACACCAACTTCATAACAAGTTACGAAAGTTTCGAAAGAAAAATCAACTAGGGAGTGAGTCCATTCAGAGGGCACAAAGTAATAGAAAAGTCAAGAAAAAAATGCAAAAAAAAACAGGAAGATTCGGAACGACATTAACTTCATACTTCAAGTAAAAACCGGAAATAACAAGAAAAAAATAATTAAAACTCAAACTCCAGAAACATGGTAAACTGACATACCGCTAAATTAATAAAATTCATCCTAAAAACCAATGAAGTAACAGATTCAGGAAACAATAGTTTAGTAACGTAATATGGAAAAAGCATCGCCTTTAATATGAAAAGTACAAACCACACGAATAAACGAAAATAGCTTAAAGATAGCGATACCAACCACACAACTCTTTTAAGGTATCTCAGTGCAGTAAAAAAGAAAAATCGTATAGTTGCGTGTTTTCCATCCATAATCCTTAATTAAAAAAAATTAAACGAAACTGTTTTGCTAAGAGACAGGCTGTCAAACAGACTGTGCACGAGTAAAAAGAGTGCAAATAAATTAGACTTTAGCTGCCGCTTTCTTCGAGTTATCTACAGCCTCATTTCCGCTTGCTGATATGCTAGATGCTGTACTAGCCCGTTCTTCAGCTGTTTCACGCCTCGGTTCTGAAGAGCACTGGGAAGAAAATCGCTCCCCGTTAGACTGCATTCCTTCATTCCCGTCTTTTCCAAAATTTTGTTGCTAAAAACACCATGATACTTACTATCTTTTTAAAGTAAAACAATTACAGTTAGAAAACGATTACAGTTAGGAATCTCTGTGACTTAGAATACACATTTCTTGATTCACCTGAAATGCAAAAGGGTTTTGAAACTGCTGCTGCAAATTAGCCGGCACAGCCCAGCGCTCACCGGGATTCCGGCCACCATTACGTTCCAAATTAACTACATTTGGTGTGCACGTTCCTTAAATCATGATCTTATATGCTACTAGTCAAAGATTCCTTCACCGGAGAAAATCCTTACCTCCAGAAAAAGAGGAAAATTGCCCAAAAACATACAGCAGGAAATAAAAAATAGCAACACACCATTAGGAAATTTCACAGATAGTGATGGAAGCGCAGCTTTACCCCATCCAGCTGCAGCCACACCATTTACATCATTATTCACAGTCTGCACGGGAGGAAAACGTAGCGGTGGCGGTGGAGCTGTAAAAGCATGCATCGGGGGTACCTGGTTAAAGGCAGTTGCACCTGGTAAACCAAACGCTGAAGGCGATTGCGGCTGGAAGTTGATCTAAACAGAACTACCCTTATATTTTTAAAATGTGGCAGATGACTAAACAGCATAAGCGCCCTCTTTCCAATATCAATTATAAAGCTATTAAAATTTGTCAATTGAATTGTAAAAGCTGCATAAAAATCGCGAAAACTCCGCATACCCAACAATGCAATTGTAATTTCAAAAATATAAGCAGTACTGCTCTCTATTACAAAACTGCTATTAACGAATCCCAACACAAATACATCAGTAACTTCTGACTCTCAAAGGAACAAACCGGCAGGCTAACAACAAAGAGCATAATGAGCTACAATTAATGAATAAGCTACAATAGCCTTCGACTGCATCCCTCAAGTCTTTAAATCCTTGCGTGTAGCCTAAGTAGAAGCTGCTTCAGTTTACCTCGCCATTACTAATAGTAAACGACCTACTACACAATTACATGTTTATGTATCTCTGAATAACCTGCATTAACGTAAGTTTCTTGACCCTCAACCTTCTTCTTGATTTAAGTGATTCAAGATCAATGTTGGCGTAACTCAGCTCTAATAACAAATCACACAAAATATTGGACAAACACAAATGACTGAGGAATAAAATAAGTCGAGCTCACAGGCTGCATGTGTGGTGGTGGCACCTGACCGAGCAGACCAACACTGCTACGAGTCAAACCTCCTGAAGAAGCCGCTTGAGAAGAAATCTCTGTTCCACGTTGACTGCCTACAGGACCGAGAGTAGATCCTTGATGAGGAAAAAATTCATGTGGAGGTGGAGGCATAAAATTATGTGCAGGATGCAATGGGGGAGGGACCTGATGCGAAGGAGGTGGAGGGGCAATGTGTGATAACTTCGCAGCGCCATTCAACACAGGCGGAGGAGTTCCAAATGTAGAACCAGAAGGACCCTGAAAATAGAATTTGAAGACATTAAAAACTAATATGGCCCAAATGTCCCAATTTCTGTGAGTAATAAAGTAAATCCTTGTAAGTGAAGATTAAAGCAAAGGAAAGAAAAGAGTTACCTGGAATCGCTGCACTGAAGTGGGCCTAGACTGTGAAGACAATGAAGGTGTAGGAGTTAGTCCCGAGAGAAGCTCCAACTGTGGCGCCTGATTTGACCAAGTAAGACTACTTGACGCTGTCCCGGCAGGTGGAGGATGAACAAAAAGTTGAGAAGGTTCGATGAACGACGTTGGTCTTGAACGAGAAATGGGTCCCTGGGATGCCGAAACGCCACCATTAAACACAGCCTTAAAAATAATTGTTACCGTAGAGAGTCTAAATTAATAAATGTCAAAAAAAAACGCAAAAAAAAAAAAAAAAAAAA